CCTGTGGCCCGCCAGTCTGTAGGCGGTGGCTCCGGGGACGCCCACCCAGGTGACCCGCAGGACATCTCTGGACGCGTTGAGGATCTGCAGCTCGGACACGCTGCCCACGGGCTCGGGGTCTGCGGCTGAAGGAGGGAGAAGGGGTCAGGGCCCCTGAGTGCTGGAGCAGCCAGGAATGCCCAGCGGGGCCGGTACCGTGAGATGCGATGGGCAGCTGGCCGGGGCCCACTCACCCGTCCTCACAACCACAGAAGTGGGGGTCCCCTCTACACCGGCCACGTGGGCCCACACGCGCACTGTGTACACTGTGTCCGGCTCCAGCCCGTCCAGCTCGGCAGTCGTGGCTTCCCCAGACACCAGCTGGGATTTCTCCGGGCCTGGGGGTGAGGATGGAGGCAGCTCCAGGGCTAGCCAGACGCTGGCCCCCCTGCCCTGCCCGGTCCCCTAAGAAGCCCCCAGCCTCTACTCCAGCCGGACCTGCCCCTCACAGCCCTCCCGACCCTCCAGTCCCCCCCGACCCCTGATCCCCACCATAGCCTGAGTGCCAGGAGACCCTGTATCCTGTGGCGCCAGGAACCGAGCTCCAGGCAATGGTGACAGAGGAGCTGCTGGCTTGAGTCACATGGACGGTCTTCACTGGGCCCAGTGGGTCTGAGGGGAGAGGCAGTGGGGAGTCTGTTGGGGGAGGCAGTGGAAGGTCTGATGGGGGAGGTACAGGGGGCCTGACTGAAGGCAGGTATCTGATAGGGGGGCCCAGGGAATGGGTCAGATGACGGGAGAAGTGGGGCTTCTTATAGGAACAGTGGAATCTGAGGGCGGGTGACAGGCGGCGAGAGACAAGGGAAGGTAGGGGGGTCCTGCAGGTGCTGGAGGCAGGAGGGGCCTGGCAAAGGAGAGCCGGGTCCAGCAGAAAAGGCAGTGGCCCTGGGAGAAGAAGGGGTGTAACTCTGAAGGCAAACAGTGGGGGTGGGGGGCGGTCACAGGCGAGAGGCAGAGGCTCTGAAAGGGCTGGGGCTCAGGAGGAGGCCAGGGAGACTGGAGGGGGAAGAGGAGGCTCCGAGGGAGGAGGTGGTGGGAGTCAGAAGGCGGAGACTGGAGAGCTGGGGAGAAGCAGGGGCCCGAGAGGGGAGGCCCGGGGTCTGACCAGTGCGTGCGATGGTGACGGAAGCAGGGCCCTCCTCTCTCCCGCGCAGGGCCGACACAGACACCCGGTAGGAGGTGCCAGGCCGCAGCCCCGTGATGTCCATGCTAGTGGAATCCGGGGACAGTGTCCGGCTGGCCTCTGGGCCTAGGGTCAGAGGGAAGTGTTGGCGTGGCTCCTGCCTGCCCCTTCGGCCCCGCACCCTGAGCGTTCCCCTCAGCAGCCCCCCACAGCCTCCACGGACCACTGTCTGTCCTCCAGCTAATCCGATAGCCACTGGCTCCAGGCACCGGTCCCCAGGCCACCCTCACGCGGGTTAAATCCGACGCCACGACCCGCAGCCCTGGGATAGCCAGTGAGGTTTCTTGCTCTGGGGGTTAAAGACAGAGGCCAGGGGTCAAGACAAGGGTCAGCGAGCCAGGCAGCTGCCCCCCCCCTCCTGTGGCGCTCACCCCGGCGGACAGTGAGGGTGCTGGCACTGCCCTCGCGGGCGCCCACTCGAGCGGACACCCGCACGATGTAGCTCAGCCCCGCTCGGACGTCATCCAAGTCAAAGGTTGTCTGACTCCCAGGAAGCACCTGGGTCCTCTCCACCCCTAAAGGAGCAGCGGGAAGCAGGGGCGTCTGTGAGACCCGGGATGTGGGAGAGGCACAGGGGGAGGGCGGTGGTCAGTGATGGACAGACACAGGGAGGGATGGGCCATGGGTTGGGAGGGGAGAGATGAGAACGTGAGAAACGAGGAGCCAGTGATGGACAGTGAGATGGGATGACAAGGGCCATGATAAACGGAGATACAGGATGGCGGGGGTCAGTGACAGGGACATGGACATAGGATGGTGGGGGTCAGGGGGCAGGGACATGGACGTAGGATGGTGGGGGTCAGTGACAGGGACATGGACATAGGATGGTGGGGGTCAGGGGGCAGGGACATGGACGTAGGATGGTGGGGGTCAGTGACAGGGACATGGACATAGGATGGTGGGGGTCAGGGGGCAGGGACATGGACGTAGGATGGTGGGGGTCAGTGGACAGGGACATGGACGTAGGATGGTGGGGGTCAGGGGCAGGGACATGGACATAGGATGGTGGGGGTCAGTGGACAGTGATGTGAGTTGACAGGTCACATTGGTAGTGATGTGGGCGACGGGTCAGAATTGGGTGCGGACGTGGGATGGAGGTCAGAGTGGACAGTGGTCCCAGCAGGGCGAGGGGTGAGCTCGGAGGTGTGAGAGGTGACGGCCACGGACAAGGAAGTGGGGCAGGAAGTGGAGACAGATCGGGTGGAGCAGTCGAGAGCAGCAGAGCCCGCGACAGGTCTGGGCCCAGCGCTGCCTCTGGAGGTGGAGGGACAGGAGTGAAGGGGACGGGGTGAGGGTGCGAAGACT